CCCATGCAGGAAGGCATGGCAACCCACTGCAATATTCTTGCCTAGAGAATCCCATGGACAGAGAAGCCCGGCAGGCTGTAGTCCATAGGGTCTCAGAGAGTCGAACACGACTGAAGTGACTTAGCACACACGCATGCTGTGCTAAGAAACAGAAAGAACTCAAGTCCGCTTTAGAGTGTGAGAGCTCTGCCAGTGGAAGGACTGTGGGAACTGACAGGGGAGAGCTTGGAGTGAAGAGTGGAAAGGCAGAGGGGAAGAGAAGTGCAGCAGACACTGAGTCAGAGGCCCTGAGACAAAGTCCTGGCTCTGTGTCTTTAATGTCTCCTTGCCTCAGTTTTCTCATCTGCAAGATGGGGATAATACTGATCTATAAGCCTGCTGTGAAGAATAAAAAAAGTAATACATGGGAACATGCTTGATCATCATTGAACATATGTTCCTTGGCCTGTGCCTAATTCAAAGGGGATCATGGCAAGGATAGCAAGGGTCCAGGTTTTGCCCCAACCCAGGGATGGGTATGAGTGTCCCTGTGGCTATTTGATGCCCTGACCCCTGGGCTCAGCTGGCTCCGTCTCACCGTCTACCAGATCCAAGGGAAAGTGAGAGTCCATCTCAGCAGGCTGCCCCAGCCCCTGTTTACTTTGGCCACGTTGTGATGGCCCTGCTGGGTTTGCCAACAGGATTTGGGTGTTTGCTCTCCTGCCTGGCATGACTGCAGAGGCAGCTGGCACTCTGCTCCTGATTGCCATGCTGACCAATGTTGCTCACAGCAAGGGGATGCTGACTCCCTGCTGCTCCCCCCTCCTCAGATGGGTGGAGTCTCTTTTTATTATCATTCCTAAGACTCCTAGGCTCAGGAAAGCAGGGTGGTAGAGAGATACCACAGTCTGTCCCTTTCAAATGGCTGCCCAAAGAGTATGTACTCAAGAATTAAAAGGAACCAGGAAATAGCAAAAGAAATCAGAGAGATGAAGATACCAAGCACAAAATCTAAATTAAAAAAAATTAAGTCCTAGGTTTTGCTTTTTTTCCTCATGCTTTTTCAGAACAGTAGATGTTCAGGAGTAAAAAGGAAGAGGCTTACTGAGGCCACCCCAGACCAGTCATGGCCCATGGTTCAGGAAAGTCATGGCAGAAGCATGATTAGCAGGTGCATGGTGGGGAAAACACATGCTCAGAACGATCCCTTTCCACCTCAGGGCAGCTCCTGGAGCCTCTCACCACCTCCCCGGCACGTGGTGTGCTCTCAGGAGACGTGGAATATCCTCCACAGGACACATTGCCAATTGGCTTTCCTAGGCTGCCAGTTAATAACTTAGAGTCATGCCTGGAGAATGGAAAATAATTGAAAGCAATGCTTAGTAAATTGCAGTTTCAAGGTCTTCATTGCCTTTCTAACAATTTGCAAAACCCATTTTATTGCTTTTTTAGATTCCTTGAGTTGAAATGCCACTGTGTGCTGTAATTAAGCTAAGTGACACACCAGCTGTAAAGACAAGGCTTGTGAATGATTACATTTAGCTCATGTAATCATCCAGCATGGGTGGGGGAAGACACTTGGAACAGCTGCCAGTCTGCCCGCCTCACACTCCCTGCCAGGGTGGAGGGAAAACTGGACTGATTCTGAAATGGCCCTTTAAAGGCTAGGGAGAGCTAGCTTGCCTGTTTGAAGTGGCCACGGCTGTCCAGTGGGATGAGTCAGATGAGTGGCTCCCGAACTTCACTATGTATCAGGACCCTCTGAGGAAGATTTCTAAATCCAGGTCAATGACCCCCTACCCCAGCCAGATTGACTAATTTCATCTGAGGGAGTGGAGGCACCAGATAGTTTTTTTAAGCTGCCCAGATAGTTTTGAGCCTAGAGAATCCGCCTAATCCAACATGGCTGCATTTAACAGCTTTGTCTTCAGGAAATCATTTTTGTATTTGGAAATGTGTCCTTCAGTGCTGCTCTTTTAAATCGATCTGGAGACAGGAACTCATCTATCTGCTTTATGAAACAAATACCCTGATCTCCATCCCCCAGAGCTCCAAAGTTCCTATCTTCTTTCACGGGACTCAGTTCTTTTTTTTTTTTTTTTCATTTATTAGTTGGAGGCTAATTAATTTACAATATTGTAGTGGGTTTTGTCATACATTGACATGAATCAGCCATGGATTTACATGTATTCCCCATCCCAATCCCCCCTCCCACCTCCCTCTCTACCCAATCCCTCTGAGTCTTCCCAGTGCACCAGGCCCGAGCACCTGTCTCATGCATCCAACCTGGGCTGGTGATCTGTTTCACTATAGATAATATACATGTTTTGATGCTGTTCTCTCGAAACATCCCGGGACTCAGTTCTTTAGAGGCCATCTTTCTTGTTCCCTTTTCTTTTCCCCCTCCATTCATTCAGCTGCTGTGTCCCAGCTCTACAATGTTTGTCTCCCTTTCTTTCCCACAGTCAGCCATCCTGATAGGGGCTGCAAGGGCTTGAAACTTGGATCATTGTATGAGCCTCCTAACCTCTCTTCCATCTTCGTTCTCTCCCCCTTGCTAGTCATCCATTCTACCATCTACGATGAGATTCACCTTTCTAACACTAAATAAAACCTATCCCATTCAAAAACCTTTAATGGTTTCCTACTGCCCATTAAATTAGGTTAACATTTCCCAGGAAAACATTTTAGACTCTCCACTACATCCATTCATTTGGCAAGTATTTACTGAGTCACAGTTTGGTCCTAAGCACCAGGCTGAAACCAGGGGATACAAAGAAGTACAGACATGGTACAGTCCAGTGGAGAGACAGCCACAAACAAGTTCACCATCATGAAGTGTACAATAATGAACCAAAAACAGCTGGGTCTCCAAGGCCCTCTTTTAAACTATCTTTCCAATGTCATCTCCCAGTTATCCTTTCTGATCCAGCCAAATTGGACTGGACTTTACTTCTTGATCATGTCCCGGGTTGTTTATATTTTCTTCCAGAACTTTATTGCTCAGTGCCACACCTCATACTCACTTTTAAAAACCCTGTTTATATGGAGAAGATATTTGTAAATGACATAAAATGACAGTAAAGGGTTAACATCTAAAATATATAAAGAACTCACAAAACTCAATAGTGATTTTTTTTAAAAAGCCAAACAATCCAATAAAAAATGAGAAGGCCTGAACAGACATTTTTCAAAAAAAAAAAAAAAGACATATAGCTGGTCAACACGTGAAAAGATGCTCAACATAACTAATTATCAGGGAGTAACAGGCAACAAGTGTTGGTGAGGATGTGGAGAAAAGGGAATCCTCATGTACTGTTGGTGGGAATGCAAATTGGTGCAGCTACTATGGAAAAGAGTATAGAGGTTCCTCAAAAAATTAAAAATAGAACTAACCAAATGATCCAGAAATTCTACTTTTGGGTATTTAGCCAAAGAAAATCAAAACTAATTAGGAAAGGTATATGCATCCCTATGTTCATTGCAACATCGTTTACAATAGCCCAGTTATGGAAGTAACCTAAGTGTCCTTTGATAGATAAATAGATGAAGAAGATGTAGTCTCTACATCCACAATGGAATATTCCTTAGCCATAAGAAGAATGAAATCTTGCCATTTGTGACATGGATAGTTCTAGAGAGTGTTATGCTAAGTGAAGTAAGTTAGACGCAGAAAGACAAATACCATATTATTTCACTTATATGTGGACTAAAAAACAAAACAAATGAACAAACAAAACAGAAACAGACTCATAGATACAAAGAACAAACTGGTAACCACCAGAGGGAAGGAAGGTTGGCTAAATAGGTGAAGGGGATTTAAGAGAAACAAGTTATAAAATAAATAAATCAGAGGGATGTAATGTACAGCATAGGGTATGTAGTCACTAATATTGTAATCCTTTGTTTGGTAACAGATGGTTACTACATTTATGGTGATGATCAATTCATAATGTGTGTAAATGTTGAACCACTATGTTGTATACCTGAAACTTATATAATATTATATGTCAATTGTATTTCAATTAAAAATTTTTTTTGAAGGAAAGGCATTTTGAACCTAAATTTTTATACAAAATTTCATACAAAGGCAAATAAATTATCACTGCAATGTGAAATTTTTTACATTAAAATTTTTAATTAAAAAATCCATTTATCTTTTTCTGTCACCTCAAATATCACCTCTCCTAATGAAGCAGACTTAATCCTCACAACTAGGTGTGAGGGCATTCCCTTCTCATCCACCGATGCTCTTCTTTAGTGGAACTTAAACCCGACTAGTTATCCGGGGACCCATCTTACCCCACTGCACACTCCATGGGGGCAGGGACTGCCATAAGCATTTTTTGTCCCCCATAAGCATTCAGCAGACAATTGCTCTGCATAGCTCCATGGCTGAACAAGCGGGAGGCAGGTAGGGCTAGGAAAACATCCTACTATTAATAGTATTTTGCCTTTGGACAACCCAGAGCCATTACAGCCTCTAGGCAGGATCAGCTACCTAATTTGGTGGGCCCAGTGCAAAAATGAAAATACAAGACTCCTCATTCACAAATTAATCAGAATTTCGAGATGGTAACAGCATCAAAACAGACGCAAGGCGTTCCTAGTGTAGAGCCCTGTGTGACTGCATAGACTGCATGACCATGAAGGTGACCCTGTCATTAGGTTCAAAAGTGCTGGCACCAAATTGTCCCTTAGGAAGACAAATAATTCTGACTTCACCTTAAGAGACTTCCATTTTATCAGCTCAGGAACCTTGACTGGCTGGGGTTGGTGACTAGGGAGGAAAAGGGAAAGACACAGAGCTTCTAGGAAGTCCCATTTCAGCAAGTCTTACATCTTTTGTCTGGGCCAGACTATGACCTATGGCAGCCTGATAGTGACAGTGGCATCAGAAAAGGCAATTTGAGTTAGGATGGTAGGGAAGGCAGCCGGAAGATACTTGGGCACAGAGCTGCTAGTATAAGAGGAGGTCTGGTCTTTACCTGATGAAGCTACAACTGTCCTGATTCCTTTACTTAGGGCTCAGAGTTCTCCATCAAGCCTAGCTCTTGGTCTTTTCTCTCTGGAGTTGGAGACCAACTGACACTGGCCTGTTGGTGCCCTGAGGGCTCCGGACTTCTGGAAACTGGGAGTCCTTCCTTGCAACTCCTCCCTTCAAGTTGCTCTATCCTTGGGAGTATCCTGGATAGCAGTGCCATGTGAGAGACCTGTAAGAACGCCACTGGTGGGGCAAATGGGACGTGTCCTGGGACAGCACCCATAACTCCCAGAAGTCATGGTCCTCCAGTACTGTAAGCTAACTGGGGGGCGGGACAAAAGGCAAGGCTGTTAGCCTCAGTAGTGCTAATGGGAGGTAGTCATAAGACCAGGCTCTCTAGATGAGGAAATAGAACTTTCAGTTGCTTCTGCAGGCATCGTAGACACTATAGGAAGAGACAAATCATTTCTTGGGAGTGAGAGGAAGAAATGGCAGAAATCCAGTCTGACTCTGGAAAGAAAAAAAAAAATTTTTTTTCTTAGATTTTTCTTTAAAATGGCTTCTAGAATATTTAAGTCAATTAACCCATCATCACCATTCCTATCTTGTGGTGATTCACATCCACAGTAACCAGAAACTCATTTTACCTACACAACATTCATATTCCTGGATCCTTATCATAGCCCCAAACATTTGACAAGGATCATTTAAGAGCTGCCAACCCGGCTGGTCCAGAGACAACAAGTGGTGCTTGTTAAAAGCACAAACTTAGCTCTCAGCATCTGTGTGCCCCTGGCCAAGTTACCTGAGTTCTCTAAACCTTGGTTTCCTCATTTGAAAAAAGAGAATAACAGTGGTACTTACCACAAAGAGTTGCTTTGAGGATTGAGATACTGTAAGCAAAACTTTTAGTACACCCAAAACAAGTGTCCAGTCTGTGTTGGTCTCAACACCATCAGCACAGTATCATTACCACCATCATCACTGTAGCTACCATTTATCAAGGAGGGTGCCAAGCACCCTGCATTAGCAAGCTTTAAATCATCCTTAAGTCCTACAAAAGGGATTATTTATCCCCTAAAACTCAACTGTCAGCAGATCTGAAGCCCTGACCTCAGTGGCCTCACTGCGAAAGTGGATCCCAAGGAAGGATGATGAGGTTACAGATTTAAGCAGAAAAATGGAGGAATTTGTCAGGGCTCCCTTCCTCACATGAGTCAGGATGGGATCTAAGTTCATGGCAGATTGGTAAAGAGGAAGAAATATTGGAACGCACCACTGTGTGAGGTTGGGCAAATCAGTTAATGTCCCCAAACCTTGATTCTCTTCCTCTGCAAATTGAGGATAAGGGAATAATTCTGTCTTGCCAACCTCACAGCATTGACCTGAGGATTACATGAGAGACAGTAGGTAAACGTGATGTGTGGAAGGTATTGTTATTATACCTACAGAGAAAGTCCATGATCTGTCATTTGAACATCTACTCTGCTCTTTCCTTCTCTAATTCAAGCATTATTATACATAAGCCCTATTCTCATACCACATCCTGCTCCATTTGTAAATCAACATGTTGATAGGCATTCTGCCGCATATAATTAGACTTTTGCCAGTTTGCCTTGTATGTATCAGTTCCTTGCAGTCTGATCAGCTGGGAATTTTGAGAAGCCATTACTTGACTTAAAAGCAGAGGATAAGCTCTGAGATCTGGTGACTCCACACAATATCCTGGAAAGCTCTGCTTGACCTTGGCCACCACTGCTTCCTGCAGAAATACCTTCACTAAAGAGCCATTTATCATTCCCTCAGCTCTAACTGAAGACTAACATTAAAAATACCACTGGAAAGAAAGAGTGGCTGTAAGAGCTTGAGGATTGGGAATCAGAAACATCTGACTCAAACCCTTCACCACTGAAAGCTGTGGAACCTTCTGAATGTTAAACCTTATGCTCTTTGAGCCTCAGTTTTTTCTTTTCTAAACTTCACAATTATGACTGAAATTAAATTATATATATACAAAGACAGAGAGAGAGAGTGCTTGTGCCTATAGAGTACATTACCCCCCAAAAAAAGAGTAAATTTTACCATCATTAATATTCATCAGAAAACATGCCAGTACCTTCAGCCATCATCTACTATGGTACAAAAAGTCCATAATAGCAAGTGACCACATGACAAACTGCTCTTAGAAATCAGAGGCAGTGAAAAGAATCACCCCTAAAGAATCACCTATTAGATGAGTAAATTTATCTTTACTCATTTAGGAGAAAATATCAAAACCTTCTCTGCCTACAAAATCCCAGAGCTTCTCATGGAGTCCAAATCCAAGCTGCTGCTGCTGCTGCTGCTAAGTCACTTCAGTCGTGTCCGACTCTGTGCGACCCCATAGACGGCAGCCCACCAGGCTCCCCCGTCCCTGGGATTCTCCAGGCAAGAATACTGGAGTGGGTTGCCATTTCCGTCTCCAATGCATGAAAGAGAAAAGTGAAAGTGAAGTCGCTCAGTCGTGTCTGACTCTTAGCAACCTCATGGACTGCAGCCTACCAGGCTCCTTGTCCATGGGATTTTCCAGGCAAGAGTACTGGAGTGGGTTGCCATTGCCTTCTCCGCAAATCCAAGCTGGACTTTGCTAAAGAATGGCCGGAAGAAGCAGCATCCCATGTCAGAGCTGTTCACCAAGGTTCAACTGAGAGAGAAGCTGTCTTTGTTCCCAGACTAGCTACATGAGTGCCAGTGTGTACAGAGATGTGCCAAGAGGTTGTTGTCATTGTTCAGTCGCTCAGTCATATCCCACTCTGCGACCCGATAAACTGCAGCATGCCAGGCTTCCCTGTCCTCACCATCTCCCGGGGCTTGCTCAAACTCATGTCCATTGAGTTGGTGATGCCATCCAACCACCTCATCCTCTGTTGTCCCCTTCTCCTCCTGCCTTCAATCTTTCCCAGCATCAGGGTCTTTTCCAATTAGTCAGTTCTTTGCATCAGGTGGCCAAAGTATTAGAGCTTCAGCATCAATCCTTCCAATGAATATTCAGGACTGATTTCCTTTAGGATTAACTGGTTTGATTGCCTTGCAGTCCAAGGGACTTTCAAGAGTCTTCTCCAACACCACAGTTCTAAAGTATCAATTCTTCAGCACTCAGCCTTCTTTATAGTCCAACTCTCACATCCATACATGACTACTGGGAAAACATAACTTTGACTAGACTGACCTTTGTCGGCAAAGTTAATGACTCTGCTTTTTAATACACTGTCTAGGTTGGTCATAGCTTTTCTCCCAAGGAGCAAGCATCTTTTAATTTCACGGCTGCAGTCACCATCTGCAGTGATTTTGGAGCCCAAGAAAACAACGTCTGTCACTGTTTCCATTGTTTCCCCATCTATTTGCCATGAAGTGATGGGACCGGATCCATGATCTTAGTTTTCTGAATGTTGAGTTTAAGCCAGCTTTTTCACTCTCCTCTGTCACCTTCATCAAGAGGCTCTTTAGTTCCTCTTAACTTTCTGCCATAAGAGTGGTGTCATCTGCATATCTGAGGCTATTGATATTTTCCCTGGCAAACTTGATTCCAACTTGTGCTTTATCCAGCCCAGCATTTTGCATAATGTACTTTGCATATAAGTTAATAAGCAGAGTGACAATATACAACCTTGACATACTCCTTTCCCAATTTTGAACCAGTCCACTATTCCATGTCCGATTCTAACTGTTGCTTCTTGACCTGCATACAGGTTTCTCAGGAGGCAGGTAAGGTGGCCTGGCATTCCCATCTCTTTAAGAATTTCCCACAGTTTGTTGTGATCCACACAAAAACTATAGCATAGTCAATGAAGCAGAAGTAGATGAAGAAGTAGCCAAGAGCTTAGGGGATGAAGAAACCAACAGAACCAGCCCTAATCTTGAGGAGTGCCCTGTCTGGGGTTGGAGTAGGAGGATGAAGACCCTGCCTTCAGGGAAACCCCAGTGTGATGGTGCGGACATAGTCTATGTCCTTTGGAAGTCCTTGACTGGGGAGACAAAAAAGTCCAAAATGGATGCAATGTTATTTTTTCTGCTAAGAGGTCCAGAGTCAAATTCAATGGTCATTTTAGGAAGCACTTAATCATACCCTTTCAATATAATTATCTTCTCCCTTTCTTGGTGTGGCTTCTGATCATTATAACTTTAACACTCATATTGCATATAAGGTTTCATGCCCCAGGCTTCCTGGTGGTTCAGTTGGTAAAGAATCTGACTGCAATGCAAGGAGACCCATGTTTGATCCCTGGGTCAGGAAGATCCCCCTGGAGAAGTAAATGGCAACCCACTCTAATATTCTTGCCTAGGAAATCCCATGGACAGAGGGGCCTTGCAGGCTACAGTCCATGGGGTCACAGTGAGTCAGATACAACTTAGCAACTAAACCCCCACCACCACACATCATCCACCTCACTTTAAAAAATATTTATTTATTTACTTGGCTGCATCAGGCCTTAGTTGTGGCACACAGATGCAGCTGCTCCAAGGCATATGGGATCTTAGTCCCCCTATCAGGGGTTGAACCCATGTCCCCTGCATCACAAGATGGATTCTTAACCACTGGACCACCAGGGATTACCAGGGAAGTCCCCTATCCTTCCCTTTAAAAGTAGGAACATAAATAACTTAAAATTCTAGAAAATTATGAACCAGAGACAGTGGGGGTGGGTTTGAGCCCCATCAGGACTGAGGAGTTTTGTTCCTATAACAGGTCCACAGGTCAGGGTGGCCATCACAGGTTCCTCTGCCCAGGCCTGGGTCTACATGTAGGGTAGTCTTCATTTCCACACTAGAGAGATGTCTTCAAAAGGCAAATTCCCAGTGGCCTGTCCCAAATCTCGTGTCAGGATTTCCAGAGGTATGGCCTTGGAAACTACAGGCTTAACAAGGGTCCCCATACAATTCATATCATCAGGGAAGTTTGGGAAACACTAGGCCAATTTTTTCCTTTGAGGGTGGTGAGAGGACCATCAGAACACCTAGTGGAGCTTCTTAAAATGCAGATTCCTGAACCCCTCAGTAGGACCTACTGATTGAGAATTTACAGGAGCAGGCCTTGGAATATGCATTTTTATGAGCACCCAAAGTGATGTGTATGGGTAGATAATCACTCGTCAGCCCTTCTGCAGAGTGAACTACAGGTCACAAGGGGGCCAGGTCAGACTGTCCGGTCAGTCTGTTTTAGGTGGCAGAAGTGAATGAGATGATTAAAATGTATCTCCTTCTATAGGCAGTCAAGCAGTATAAATCCCTAAACCATCAATTCAGTTCAGTTCAGTTCACTCAGTTGTGTCTGACTCTTTGGGACCCCATGAACTGCAGCACCAGGCCTCCTTGTCCATTGCCAGCTCCCAGAGTTTACTCAAACTTATGGCCATTGAGTTGGTGATGCCATCCAATCATCTCATCCTCTGTTGTCCCCTTCTCCTCCTGCCTTCAATCTTTCCCAGCATCAGGGTCTTTTCCAATGAGTCAGTTCTTTGCATCAGGTGGCCAAAGTATTGGAGTTTCAGCTTCAGCATCAGTCCTTCTAATGAATATTCAGGACTGATTTCCTTTAGGATGGACTGGTTGGATCTCCTTGCAGTTCAAGGGACTTTCAAGAGTCTTCTCCAACACCAGAGTTAAAAACCATCAATTCTTTGGCGCTCAGCTTTCTTTATAGTCCAACTCTCACATCCATACATGACTACTGGGAAAAAAAACTTTGACTAGATGGACCTTTGTTGGCAAAGTAATGTCTCTGCTTTTTAATGTGCTGTCTAGGTTGGTCATAACTTTTCTTCCAAGGAGTAAGGGTCTTTTAATTTCATGGCTGCAGTCACCATCTGCAGTGATTTTGGAGCCCAAGAAAACAAAGTCTGTCACTGTTCCCACTGTTTCCCCATCTATTTGCCATGAAGTGATGGGACCAGATGCCATGGTCTTAGTTTTCTGAATGTTGAGTTTTAAGCCAGCTTTTTCACTCTCCTCTTTCACTTTCATCAAGAGGCTCTTTAGTTGTTCTTCTCTTTCTGCCATAAGGGTGGTGTCATCTGCATATCTGAGGTTATTGATATTTCTCCCAGCAATCTTGATTCCAGCTTGTGCTTCATCCAGACCAGCGATCTCAAGATGTACTCTGTATATAAGTTAAATAAGCAGTGGTGACAATATACAGCCTTGACATACTCCTTTCCCTATTTGGAACCAGTCTGTTGTTCCACGTCCAGTTCTAACCCTCCACCATAGGCAATGCTATCTTGTAGAGCTCTAAATTTTTACATATCACCTTCCTTCAGAAGCACTAATGCTCTGACAGAGGGCTCCCTTGCCATCTCTCTAGTGCTTTTACACAGTGGAATTAAAGCTTAGGGGTCTTTGAATTTTCCTGGTTGTCCAGTAGTTAAGAACCTGCCTGCCAATAGAGGGGACACAGGTTCAATCCCTGGTCCAGGACAAGATTCCACATGTACGTGCGCTGTATCACAACTACTTAGCCTGCGCTCTAGAGTCCATGTGCGGCAACTACTGGAGTCCCTGCGCCTAGAGCTGGTGCTCCACAAGAGAAACTACCACAATGAGAAGCCTTCACGCTGCAAAGAAAAGTAGCCCCTGCTCACTGCAACTAGAGGAAGCCTGTGCACGGTAACAGAAACCCAGTAGAGCCATAAATAAATAAATAAATAAGTAAAAGCTTAAGGATCTTTGTTTCCAGATCTTCTCAGGCACCAGTGTCCTGTTGTTCTGTCCCCTTAGTACACGCCTTACAGGGCCAGCTCTCAGGTCAAGTGCCCTGGACCTAAGTAGGCTAGGCTGGCAGAGGACAAAAGGTATGGAGATCAACCTTTTCATGGTTAACATGGTTCTACTTCCAGGGCCGACATTAGTGACGGTCTCAATTTCAGCCAGAAGTGGAAAACAAGGCAAAGTGTACTTAAAGCAGCGGAGCCAGATCAGTCATAGTAGAAACATATCAATACATTGCAAGGGGGTCACATCTTGACTGTGGTGAGTCTTTTCTTAAAACGTATTTATTTTGGACTGTGCCAGGTTTTCGTTGCTGTGTGCAGGCTTTCTTTAGTTGTGGCAAGCAGTAGCTACTCTTCATTTCAGTATGCAGGCTTCTCATTGTGGTGGGTTCTCTTCTTGCAGAACACAGGCTGTAGGCATGGGGCTTCAGTAGTTGTGGTGGACGGGCTTAGTTGCCCCTCAGCATGTGGATCTTCCCTGACCAGGGACTGAATCCATGTCTCCTGCATTGGTAGGCAGATTCTTTACTACTGAGCCAGCAGGGAAGCCCTGAGGTGAGTCTTAACTGTCTACTTACCTGCATGATTTTATGAATCTATCTGCCCACCTACCTACCCAACGTTCCAGAAATATATGTAGAGTGCCTGCCAATGCTCTAGACACATGAAGGGAATATAAGTGGGCCTACCTAGTTCCTCTCACATCCTCTTTGGCCAGAGATCAGGCAGTGACTGTATGCTTCCTGATCTTGCATACACAGGTCTTTCAAAGCACCTGTATGGCTTCTGGCAGGCCTTGGGTCCAGTCGGGCTGGAGTGGCAACCACCAGCAGGTCTGTCAGGGAAACATCAAGGCCGTGAGAATTCTGTAAGAAGAGGAAGGAGGGCACATCCAGCTGCCTCTTCTCGCCAGAGTTTCGGCTGCAAAAGTAGGACTCCCGGGGCAGGGAGGGGTTTTCTGGAAAGGCAAAGTCATTGGCATCATCAATCTGTGCTGCTGGACTCAGCATAAATTCTTGGTGAGAGACACCTCCCACTAGGGTCTCCTGCTTAAAACTGGCTGAAGCTCCTTAATTAGAATCAGCCACTGCGCCATTCTTCTAAACAGTTTCTCTTCCCTATTTTTTCCCCCCAGACTTAACACCCCAAACTTGTACAGGCTCAGCTGAATGGGCTTCATCTGAATGAGAACCAGAAAAGACTGAAAAGGGTACTTAGACATAGCATTCTATTTTTATCACTTTTTTTTTTTTTTTTGCTTTCCCATTAAGGCTAGAGACTCCCTAAGTACAAAGACTAGGTCTCCACCATCAGACTGGGATCTCCCTGAAGGCAGGGGCTTCAGCCCCCCTCAGATGGGGCACTCCTCAAGATTAGGCTGGTTCTGTTGGTTTCTTCATCCCCTATGCTCTTGGCACATCTTCAAACACACTGGCACTCACGTGACTGGTCACTCAGCACCAGCTTTGGGTTGTAGTGAGCTGGGAACAAAGACAGCTTCTCTCTCAGTTGAACCTTGGTGAACAGCTCTGACATGGGATGCTGCTTCTTCCGGCCATTCTTTAGCAAAGTCCAGCTTGGGATCGGACGCCACGAGAAGCTCTGGGATTTTGTAGGCAGAAAACTGTTTGATACTTTTTCTGGGATGAGGTGCCAAGGCACCTGCTGTGGCTTGCATTTAAAGGAGGCCACCCTGTCCATCTTTGGGCTGCTACACTCAGAGCTGGCTGTCACAGTCACATTCAGCAGATGTTCAGGGGTGTCTGAGACCGGGGTGGTAGATTCTGGGAAGGCTTCTACTGAAGTTAGAGGCTGGAAGAGAAAATGGTCCAAAATGAGATTATGAAAAGCCAAGGGCTCCTTCCTATGCCCCTTTTAATTAAAACAAACAGATGAAGAGCTGAATTCATGAGCAATAAGAAAGATTTCGGTCAGAACAGTTTCTAACCATGAATTGGTTAAACACTAAGGCGGAAGATGGTGGCGAATGTCCACAGAGCTTCCTCTGGAGGTCTTTAAATGTGAGAGAGACTTTAAACACTAGAGACTGGTAATCAGAGAAATAGGTATTATTTTACAACTATTAAACTGGCAAAAAATAGAAAGCTGGATATCAGTGTTGGTGGAATGCAAGGGAGCTACAGGGATGCTCATGCACTGATGATGAGAATGTAGGTTGGTCCAGACACTCTGGTGAACCATCTAGAAAGATAAGTAAGATAAGATTACAATCCGCACACTGCAATGAAGAGTAGCCCTTGCTTACCACTACAGAAAGCCTGCATGCAGCGACAAAGACCCAGTGCAGTCAAAAATTAATAAATAAGATTACAAATACCTTGTGACCCAGCAATTCAGCTCCTAGCTATAGATGCTAAATAAGTTATAAGATCACTCCTTTTAAAAAAGTATGTACACCAATGTTCCCAGCAACATTATTCACAATAGGCAAAAGGTGGATACAGCCCAAATGTCCACCAACAAATGAATGGATAAACAAAATGTGGTATAGGTACAGTGGAATATTATTACCATCCTCAAAAGGAAGGAAATTCTGATATATGCTACAACATAAATGAACTCTGAACAGGTTATGCAAAGTGAAATAAAGTTAAGGTGTTAGTTGCTCAGTCATGTCTGACTCTTTGTGACCCCATGGACAATAGCCCACCAGGCTCCTCTGTCCATGGGATTCTCCAGACAAGAATACTAGAGTGGGTTGCCATTCCCTTCTCCAGGGGATCTTCCTGACCCAGGCTTTGAACCTGGATATTCTGCATTGCCAGCAGATTCTTTATCATCTGAGCCACCAAAGAAGCTCCAAAGTGAAATAAACCAGACACAAAGTACAATTATTATATGATTCTCTTTATATGAGGTATAAATATTTAGAAATAAGTCCATAATTGGGGTTGAGATTTTAAAATCCATCTCTCAGCAATTGATATAAAAAGCAGAAATCAAATTAGTCTGGATATGGAAAATCTGAGTGACCCTATCTAACAGGGTGATTGAACTGATATATATAACACTATACTCAGCAACTGTAGAATACACATTCAAGTGCCCATGGAATATTCATCAAGGTATTGCTGGGCTGTAAAATAAGACAAAAAATTTTAAGACACTGAAATTTTATCAAAACATTGTACACACCAAAAAGGAATCAAATTAGAAACTAATAGCTATAAGCCACAGGACTGGAAAAGGTTGGTTTTCATTCCAATCCCAAAGAAAAGCAATGCCAAAGAATGTTCAAACTACCACATAATTGCACACATCTCACATGCTAGCAAAGTAATGCTCAAAATTCTCCAAGCCAGGCTTTAACAGTATGTGAGCAGTGAACTTCCAGATGTTCAAGCTGGATTTATAAAAGGCAGAAGAACCAGAAATCAAATTGCAAACATCCTTTGGATCATAGAAAAAGCAAGAGAATTCCAGAAAAACATCTACTTCTGCTTTATTGACTATGCCAAAGCCTTTGACTATGTGGAGAGATGGGAATACCAGACTACCTGATCTGCCTCCTGAGAAATCTGTATGCAAGTCAAGAAGCAACAGTTAGAATTGGACATGGAACAATGGACTGGTTCCAAATTGGGAAAGGAGTACATGAAGGTTGTATATTGTCACCGTGCTATTTAACTTACATGCAGAGTACATCATGAGAAACTCGGCTGGATGAGGCACAAATTGGAATCAAGATTGCTGGGAGAAATATCAGCAACCTCAGATATGCAGATGATACAACCCTTATGGCAGAAAGAGAAGAACTAAAGAGCCTCCTGATGAAAGTGAAAGAGGAGAGTGAAAAAGCTGGCTTAAAACAACATTCATAAAGCAATTATCCTTCAATAAAAAATAATTTAAAAAACTCAACATTCAAAAAACTAAGATCATGGCATCCGGTCCCATCACTTCATGGCAAATAGATGGAGGAACAATGAAAAGTGACAGACTTTCTTTTCTTGGGCTCCAAAATCACTGCAGATGGTGACTGCAGCCATGAAATTAAAAGACGCTTACTCCTTGGAAGGAAAGCTATGACCAACCTAGATAGTGTATTAAAAAGCAGACATCACTTTGCCAACAAAGGTCCGTCTAGTCAAAGCTATGGTTTTTCCAGTAGTCGTGCATGGATGTGAGAGTTGGACTACAAAGAAAGCTGAGCACTGAAGAATTGATGCTTCTGAACTGTGGTGTTAGAGAAGACTCTAGAGAGTTCCCTGGACTGCAAGGAGATCAAACTAGTCAATCCTACAGGAAATCAGTCTGAATATTCATTGGAAGGACTGATACTGAAGCTGAAACTCCAATACTTTGGCCACATGATGCAAAGAACTGATGCAAAGACCCTGATGCTGGGAAAGACTGAAGGCAGGAGTGGGAGAAGGGGACGATAGAGGATAAGATGGTAAAGATGGAATCACCTACTCAATGGACATGAGTTTGAGCAAACTCCAGGAGCAGGTGATGGACAGGGAAGCCTGGCATGCTGCAGTCCATGGGGGTCGCAGAGTCGGACATGACTAAGTGACTGAACTGACTGAATAGCAATAAGATATCTAGAAAACTCTTAAATATTAGAAAATTATACAATATACTTCTAGATCACCCATGGAACAAAAATGAAATCACAAGGGAATCAGAAAAATATTCCAAACAATGATAAAAATGCAACGTATCAAAATTTATGATATGAAGATAATCTGGTATTTACAGGGAAATTTATAGTGCTAAACACATATTAGATAGGAAAAAAGGCTTACAGTAAATAATCTAACTTTTCACTTTAAGAAATTAGAAAATAGTGATCAAATTAAACTAAAAGCTAATAGAAAAAAGGGAAATAATAAAGATAGCACTGGGGGAAAAAAGGAAATAATAAAGAAAACACTGGTCTTCCCAGGTGGCTCAGTGGTAAAGAATCCTCCTGTCAAGCAGGAGATGCAGGTTTAATCCCTGGATCAGAAAGATCCCCAGGAGAAGGATATGGCAACCTACTCCAATTTTTTGCCTGAGAAATCCCATGGACAGAGGAGCCTGGTGAGTTACAGTCTATGGAGTCACAAAAGAGTCAGACACGACTTAGCAATGAAACAACCAACGACAACACTGGAAAGCAATAGTAACAGAAAATAAACTGTAGAGAAAATTAACAAAGCCTAAAATTGGTTCTTTAATTAATAAAATGGATAAGCTCATACTAAGATCAAAATAAAGAGGAAATACAAATGCTTTTATCATCCATGAAAAAGGAGATATCTTGATGTATCATGCAGACATCAAAGGGATAAGAAAATTTAAAACAAGCAGAAGGGACAGTAGTTTGGTTCTGATTCTAGCTAAGATGAATTAAGCATATTGCATCTATCTTTCCCATAGGCTATTCCTACAAAACCTGCACAGAATGCATGCATAGAATAGTTATCTGACAATTCTGAAAAGTAAACAGTAGCAAGCAGATGGAGGAAGATTTGAGGAAGATGACAATTCAAAGCACCAGCAAGTCATCAGTGCTGTGCTTAATTGCTCAGTCGTGTCCAATCTTTGAGACCACATGGACTGCAGCCCGCCAGCCTCCTCTGTCCATGGGGATTCTCCAGGCAAGAATACTGGAGTGGGTGGCCATGCCCATGCCCTCTTTCATGGGATCTTCCCAATCCAGAGATCAAACCCAGGTCTCCCACATTGCAGGTGGATTCTTTACCATCTGAGCCACCAGGGAAGTTTACTGTTTTTTCCTTCAGTATGCCCTGACCTCAACTCAAGGCAACTCAAAATTCAAAAGTGGGTATGGGGGAATATTCACTAGTTTGTTGTCTTTTTTTAGATTCTACATATAAGTGATATCATACAGTATTTGTCTTTCTCTGTCTGACTTATTTCATTCAGCATAACGTCCATCAAGTCCATCTATGTTGCTGCAAGTGGCAAAATTTTGTCCTATTTATGGCTAAGTAACATTCCTTAGCCAGCTAAGTAATTCCTTAGACAGAGAAAGCTCTAAGAGAACCTTCTAGTTGTGGCTCTTCTTTTCTTTTCTCTACTCTCTTTGCCCCCATGTCCATGATGAAAATCCTGAGGTGGATTTCAGTAATGAATAGAATTCAGTGATTAATAGAATGAGTATACAGAAATTTAATAAGAATATAGAAGAACTGAACAACATCAGCAACCAAATAAATCTAACTGACCCACTGCCCAACAGCAGCAAAATATTCTTTTAAAGTGCACATGAAACATTCTCGAAAAGAAACCATGTTCTGGGTTATAACATAAACTTTAATAAATTTTAAAGAACTGAAATAATATAAAGTGTGTTCTCTGATGATATGGAATTAAATTAGAAATCAATAACAGGAAAATCCCCAAACAACTGAAAGTTAACACATTTCTCAATTGCCAAGACATGAAAGCAACTTAAGTGCCCAGCAATAGAAAAATAGATAAAGATGTGGTATAACCACACACACATACACACACACAGACATACACAAACACATACACACAAAAGAATGTTACTTAGCCATAATAAAGACCAAATTTTGCCATCTGCAGCAACATGGATGGACTTGGAGGACATTATGCTAAATGAAATAAGTCAGACAGAAAGACAAATACTGTATGATATCTCTTACGTGTAGAATCTAAAAAATACAACAAACTAGCAAATATAAAAGTAAAGAAGCAGACTCACATATAGAGAATAAACTAGTGGTTGCCAGTAGGGAGAGGGAAGTGGGGATGGGTAATATAGGGATAGGGGAGTCAGAGGTACAAACTATTAGGTACAAAATAAACTACAA